TTCAACATTCACCTACAGAAATACACTGATCTGCCAATGTAACTGACTTTAAAGTGAGAGGTTTCCCAAATGAATAATAATACACCTGACCTCTTTAAGTAACAATAAGCTTATTATGATAACTGTTCCAGATTAGTTCTGTTTATATTAAGATCCTGTTCTCATCACACTCTTCCTCTCATTACAAGGCTTACATTAAGTGTACATTATCAAAGTGATACCTTTTATATCTTACCAGTATTATTTCAGTGAATAAATCTTGTATTCTGAACTTTGGCATAAGGGCCTGGTCATCTTCAGATGACATAGCTGAAAGAAAACAAATTTTCAGTTTTCACAATCAGGTGAGTGCATTTTGAAGTGACCAGCAACTATAGGCCAAATGTTATTTTTGAGTATTCCAAGACCCAGTGAAGGATTGAAAACATATTCAAAGCTCAAGATAGGTAAAATGAGGAAAACTCACATCAAAGAGGAGAAAGAGTTGCTTACATTTGCCAATGATACCTGCTCAAATGCCCTGTCACACAATGGCAATATTATAAAAACACTCCCACCTCCCAGTTTGTCCACTGGAGAGAGGGAGAGAGAGATGAGGGAAGTGCATGTTCAATGATCTCCCTGTTTGTTTGTTTTTTGATATATTTTTATTGGTTTCAGAGAGGAAGGAAGAAGCAGAAAGATAGAAACGTCAATGATGAGAGAGAAACATCGATCGGCTGCCTTCTTCACATCCCCCACTGGGGACCGAACTCACAACCCAGGCATGTGCCCATGACTGGAATCAAACCCAGGACCCTTCAGTCCTCAGGCCGACTCTTCAGCCACTGAGCCAAACCAGTCAGGGCTGATCTCCCTGTTTTGAGGCATCTTGAAGAACATGTGTCTGTTGTGCATGACAGAATACGAACAGAACTGGCTGCTACAAAGAAACAATGAGAAAGTGTTCGAGCTCCACAAAGACTGGGGTACTGAAGATGTACATGAAGCCTGAAAAGATACTGTGGGTCTGAGAAAGAAACAGAGAACATTTCAACTGAGAAATTAAACAGACAACCGAACCAAGAATATAGATACTGAAAACAATGTTGACCAAAAGTAAGACTTGTTCCACAGATGGTCATTATGTTTCCTCCTACAGAAAACATGTTCAAAAGCCTGTTTGCTTACAATTCCGGAATCTCAATAAAAGATACTAAGTTATGCATAGAAACAGAAAAAGTGTACCATCAGGGGAACAAAATAAATATAATCAAATTGCCACCACATTAATAGAAATATATTAATTACCTCAAAAAGAATGGAAAATTGCCCAGCCAGGTGTAGCTCAGCGGCTGAGCGTCGACCCAGAAAGCAAGAGGTCGCCGGTTCAATTCCTGGTCAGGGCATATGCCCAGGTTGCGGGCTTGATCTCCAGTGGGGAGCATGCAGGAGGCAGCCAATCAATGATTCTCTCTCATCATTGATGTTTCTATCTCTTTTTCCCTCTCCATTCCTCTCTGACATCAATAAAAATAAAAAAAGAAAAAAGAAAAAAGAATGGAAAATTAATATTTTAAAGACAAAAAGAAGAAAAAAAAAGACAATTATATAATATCACCAAAATATTATGTAACCAAAATAAAAATTCAATGAGAAAGTACTTTATAAACCCCACACCAAAAGGGGAAATTGAAAAACATAATACCAGAATTAAAAAAATACAGTAGAGCCTTAGTCAGTTTGGCTCAGTGGATAGAGCCTACGAACTAAAGGGTCCCAGGTTCGATTCTGGCCAAGGGCACATGGCCGGTTTGCGGCGGTCATAGTTCAATTCACCATCAGTGCACATTCCTGAGTTGTGGCTCAATCCCCAGTAGGCGGCATGCAGGAGGCAAGCAATCAGTGATTCTCTCTTATCACAGATGTTTTTACCTGTTTCTCCTTCTCTCTTCCTCTCTGAAATCAATAAATTAAAAAAAAAATACAGTAGAGCCATAGCTGGTTTGATTCAGTGGATAGTGTTGGTCTGCGAACTGAAGGACCCCAAGCTCGATTCTGGTGAAGGGCACATGCCTGGGTTGTGGGCTAGATCCCCAGTAGGGGGCATACAGGAGGCAACCAATCAATCATTCTCTCTCATCATTGATGTTTCTGTCTCTCTCTTCCTCTCCCTTCCTCTCTGAAACCAATAAAAATATATTTGGAAAAAAAAAGAGTCCTAAACAGTTTGGCTCAGTGGATAGAGCAGCGGTCTGCGGACTGAAGGGTCCCGGGTTCATTTCCGGTCAAGGGCATGTGCCCGGGCTGTGGGCTCAATCCCCAGTAGGCGGCATGCAGGAGGCAACCAATCAGTGATTCTCTCTTATCATAGATGTTTTTATTTCTCTCTCCCTTCCTCTCTCAAATCAACAAAAAATATATTTTTTAAAAAAGAGTTATCGTTCATTGAAATAAAAAAATACAGTAGAGTCATGAATGAAAGACACGACCAACTCAAAACATCGAATAATTTGCCCGGCAGTGTTGGTTCAGTGGTTCAACTTCCACCTATGAACCAGGAGATCATGGGTTGCTTCCACGTAAGGCACAGGCATGGGTTAAAGGCTCAAACCCTGAATGTACAGGAGGCAGCTTCTCTCTCTTCATTGATCTTTCTATCTCACTCTCCCGGTCCTTTCCTCTCTGAAATCAATAAAGATACATTTAAAAAATAAAAATTAAATAATCAAAGAATTTGTACATACATCATTAAAATTTAATTCATTAAAATTTTGATTCAGAGAAGCCAACATACATGTGGAAATGTGAAGAAATTTTAAGGAACTCCTAAGACACTAACAAATGAACCATCCAGGAAATCACATGGTTTGGCGCCAGGCTGGGGTGGGGGACCTAAGGCAGTGCCCCGCCTGGCGGGGCTTCACAGGGGACCTCAAAACACATACCCCGCCCCAGGGACTTCAGGCTGCGCCCCCTGCCCAGGGGGCTTGACAGCAGACCTCAGGCCGTGCCCACTGCCCCGGCACCAGGCTGGGCACCTCAGTCCGTGTGCCCCAACAGGTGGGGCTTGACAGGGGACCTCAAAGTGTGCCCCCTGCCCTGGCCCCAGGCTAGGGGAACTCAGGCTGAGCCCCCGGCCTGTCAGGGCTTGATGGGGGCCCTGTGGCAGCAACCCCCATGTGGCAGGGCTTGCTGCAGGTGGGGCTGACCGTGTCTGGGTCTTGCTTGATTTTAGGGCACATGAGGGTGGGCGGGGACTTGACTCTGGCTCCTGTGGCACACCCCAGACTCTGACAGGAGGAAGATTTTCATATACATTTTATTAATTTTCTTTCAACTCTGACATTTTTATTATAGAGAAGGGGCACATTACAATATTAAAATATTTCTTTTAATTAATTCCCTTTTAATGTGCACAGATTTTGTGCATCGGGCCAGTAGTTTATAAAAAAAAAAACTTCTGGCCGAAACCGGTTTGGCTCAGTGGATGGAGCGTCGGTCTGTGGACTGAGGGGTCCCAGGTTCGATTCTGGTCAAGGGCATGTGCCTTGGTTGCGGGCACATCCCCAGTGGGGGGTGTGCAGGAGGCAGCTGGCCGATGCTCTATCCACTGAGCAAACCAGCTAGTGCTGTTTTTTACTATTTATTTACCACAAGTAATGGTCAGGAATTGTTATCTTTCTTTTAAAATTTTTTTACTATTTCACTTCATTACTGCTTTGTATGTGCTGCATGTGAGTGACGTAGGTTCTTATGTAGATGAGTTCCAACTTACGGCGAAAATCGCGTTACGTCATGCCGTAGAAACGGATCTCTGACGTAACCCAAGCATCTACTGTATAAAGTAGTGCTGGCTGTCATTAAATAAGAACTCAATAAATGAACTAAACATGCAATGTTAAATTGGAATGCTAACAGTATAGCTCTCACAAGTACCCAAGGTTGACAAACATTCAAAGCAGTCACTATCCATGTCCCAATGACACTTTTCACAAAATTAGCAAACCTCATCCTGAAATTGACATGAAATGACCCAGGACACCAGGGAACCAAAACAAACATGGGAGAGACAAGATGACCTTAAAGGCATCATGCTTCCAGATTTAAAAAAATATTTCAAAATTGGTATTATCAGAAAGATGAATCTTCACATGAAGACAGAGGTAAATAAAGGAGAACGGGAGGCCCTGGCCAGTGTGGCGCAGGCTCAGAGCATCATCCTGTGCACTTAAGGGTGGCAGATGTGATTCCCGTTAAAGGGCACATACTGAATAAGACTTCGTTCATAGGCCATGAACCAAAATGAACTCAGCATGGATCAACAACTAAAATATAAGACTTGAAACCAAGAAAACACTGGAAGAAAGCATAGTAAATGAACTTTACCATCACTCTTAAAAATACTGGTTAGGCTATATCTTCCTAGGCATAACAAAGAGCTAAAAAATAAAAAAAAATGATACTATAAAAGAGTAAGTTTGGCATACCAAAAAAACCCCACAAAATAGCAACAACAACAGCAACAAAAAAACCAGCAATGATACATCCTCAAAAGCTAAAGATCGAAAATGGAACTCACACAACTTAACACCAAAAAGACAAACAATATGATTGAAAAATGGGCAGAGCTGTTCCCCCATCACACAGCTGTACTTTTCTTTAATAGAGGTTTTTATTACCACCTGGGCCACCGTTTTCTTCTATTGATGTTCTGAGCTCCTTACAACAAAATGCAGTTACAGATCGCCACCCCCTCCCCCCCAAATCAGAATCTCCACAAGATGGGTTGCCCTATGGTTTTCAGAAGCTGCCAGAGGGTTCCAGAGTCTTCTGTAATGATACCAATTATTTTTGTATTATTTTTCTTGTTTTTTTATAGTACAGTAGAGGCCCAATGTATGAAATTTGTGCAAGGGTAAGCCTTCCTAGGCCCAGCTGCCTCGGTTCTCCCAGCCATGGCTGCCCTGCAGCCCCATCCCCAGCCCACTGGTTGTTCAGGAAGGACATTCCGCTGTCTGGTCTAATTAGCATATTAGCACTTTATTATATAGGAGATTTAAAGGCAGTATCTTTTGTATTGTGAATTTGCAGAAGGTGCATAATGTACTTTTTTAAAACTTCTGTTGGTATGTACGGTATATGGTCTGTGTAATTCTTATAATGAAAATAAACGTTTTCTTCATAAAAAAAAAAAAAAGGAAACTGGGCAGATAGACAGTTCCCAAACAGGGAATAGACATTTCCCAAACAGGACATAAAGATGCGCAATAGACATATTAAATGATGTTCAACTCATCCATCATCAGCGAAATGCAAATGGACACCACCATGAAATACCACCAAACACCTAACAGGATGCCAATCATCCATAAATCAAAAAATGACAAGTATTACCAATTAAGTGGAGAAATGATAACATTGATGCTCTGTCAGCAAGATTATAAACACACTGGTATAGCCACTATCAAAACACGATGGAGGATTTTCCAATATTTACAAACAAGTACCAGTTAACACAGTGATTCCATTTCTGGCAATTTATACAGAGAACATGAATTCAAAAAGATATGCCCACCCATATATCCACTGCAGCACTATTTGCAACAATAAAGATATTGGACTGTTAAAAAAGGACTATTTTTATAATGATGCTCTACCATTTAAAATAAAAGACTTCATTTGACTTGTCATGTAAGGACACAAAATTTATATCTCAACTCATCTCCTTCAAGACGTGACTCACTATATGTTTATACCAGAAATGACACAATAGCTGCAAAAATAACTTACATGTTATGGAATAAAAAAACTACATTAATTTTATACAATTCATATTTTTGAAAAGCAAATACGTAACCAAGTTTGTATTTCAATCCATTGTATTCAAATAAAAACTCCCAATGTATCAACTGAAAGATTAAAGAAAAAACAATAAATAAGGCATCGTCAACAACAACAAAAGGAGAAGCTACGGGCAGAGAACATATATTTCTAAAAGTCAATATGGCCCAGCTGGCATAGCTCAGCAGTTGAGCATTCACCTATGAACCATCACTTCCTAGGCATAACACAATAGCTGCAAGAAAAGCTGTAGACAAAGGGAGAGGAAGAGAGAGAGAGAAGCTTTTCTTTTCTAAGTTGTGTGAGTTCCATGTACATTTTCGATCTTTAGCTTTTGAGGATGTATCATTGCTGGTTTTTTTTGTTGCTGTTGTTGTTGCTATTTTGTGGGGTTTTTTGGTATGCCAAACTTACTCTTTTATAGTACCATTTTTTTATTATTTTTCATGGTTCTATTCCTGGTCAGGAAACAATCCCGGGTTGCGCGCTCAATCCCAAGGACGATGTGTGCAGGAGGCGGATGATCAATGATTCACTCTGATCACTGATGTTTCTATCTCTCTCTTCCTCTCCCTTTGTCTCTGAAATCAGTAAGTCAATTATTGTAGACAACATGTAAAGTGTGCAAACACTGACTTCCTAATTCACAAACATTAAAAGGCTTTTCTTTTCTACACCGAAGAACCCATAATTTGTTCCATGAGAGGAAGAACCTACCATAAAAAGCAGATGCCCCCTAGAAACGTTAAAATAAAAATGGAAAAATCCCTGCAGGTGGAGTAGGAATTCAAGAAGGAAGTCACCCTCACCCACAGAGGCCAGGTTGCTATAGTTCTCCAACATCACATCCATGTACAATTTCCGCTTAGCTGGGTCCAGGCATTCCCACTCCTCCGGAGAAAAATGTATGGCCACATCCCAGAAGGTCAACGGTCCCTGAAATAAAAGGCACATTTACCAAGAGGCCACTAGAAGAGTTCATAACGTGCCCAAAAAGATCAAGCCCAATAAGATCACTTTGCCCCAGTCACATTCTCTGATGTGATTTCAAACACTGACAAATGAGGATGTCACATGTCCACAAACCCATGGTACAGATTTTATTTTTCAGGAAAATAAACTTTTAAAATTAAGGCATGGACACAGGCATATGGATCTCTTGAGTGCTGCATTCGCATCGTTCAGGGTCAGTGTGTATGGTTTTCAGCTGGAAATGGCAGGCTGGGTTGGAAATGTATGGACTCCTTCTCAAGTGTAAAACAGACCACAAGGAAATGAACTTCTGTAAAAATACAGATTCTGATCCTTGTTCTGAGATGGGGCCTGTGTTTCCACATGTATAACAAGCTCACTTTTTACTTGTGATGTTAATGTTTCTGGTGCATGTGCCACTCTTCTGAATACACAGAAGACAACAGAGGAAAAAATTCACACAGAACTTTCAAGTTGTTAATGGAACTTACAGTTCTCGTGGAATAGGATACATAGGAACCACAATCCTCTTTGAAAATATACTATGAGTGCCGAAACCGGTTTGGCTCAGTGGATAGAGCGTCAGCCTGCGGACTGAAAGGTCCCAGGTTCGATTCCGGTCAAGGGCGTGTACCTGGGTTGCGGGCACATCCCCAGTAGGAGATGTGCAGGAGGCAGCTGATCAATGTTTCTCTCTCATCGATGTTTCTAACTCTCTATCTCTCTCCCTTCCTCTCTGTAAAAAATCAATAAAATATATTAAAAGAAAATATACTATGAGTAATCTTAGAACAAGATGATTCTGTCCAGGGCAGCTGGTGTTGCTCAGTGCTGAGTGCGGGCCCATGCACCAATAGGTCACTGGTTTGATATCTAGTCTGGACACACAACCAATTTGCGGGCGCAATCCCATGTGGGGTGTGAAGGAGGAAGCCTATCAATGATTTCTCCCTCATCACTGATATTGCTAGCTCTCTCTACCTCGCCTTTCCTCTTTGAAATCAATAAAAACATAGTTGAAAAAATAAAAGAAAAAATAGCTGGAATAATGTTAACAGTTTCGGCTCAGAGTCACACATTTTACAACTATGAAATCAAGATGGTTTAGTGGCCCTAGCTGGTTTGGCTTACTGGATGGAGCGTTGGCCTGCGGACTGAAGGGTCCTGGGTTCAATTCCGGTCAGGGCACATGCCCAGGTTGAGGGCTTGTTCCCTTGTGGGGGGCATACAGGAGGCAGCCGATCAATAGTTTTCTCTCATCAGTGATGTTTCTATCCCTCTCTCTCTCCCTTCCTCTCTGAAATCAATAAAAATATATTTTAAGAAAAGATGGTTAGTGATTCTGTAAATCTCATGAATCTATTTGTGTATGATGCCCTTTGTGTTTTATAAACACAATAAGGAGAGAAACATAACGATACAAAAGAAGTTAGACCTATTGTTTCACTTTTGTGGTTGTAAATCCTCACCTGGGGAGATTTTTCCCATTGACTTTTTGAAAGTGGAAGGCAGGGAGGTAGAGGCATGAAAAGGAAAGAGGGGGAGAAGGAGAGGGAGAGGGAGAGGGGAAGAGAGAGAGAGAGAAAGAGAGGTCAATGTGAAAGAGACAGATGGATTGGTTGCCTACCAAAGGTATCCAAGAAAGAAAGAGAGAGAGAGAGAGATGTGAAAGAGACGGATGGATTGGCTGCCTACCAAAGGTACCCAAGAACTACTTGCCCTAGACCAGGAATCAATCCCTCCACCACTGATCCACACCACACTGGGGGAACTAATTTTCTTTACTAGTACATTTTTCAAAATTTTAGGTATCACTAGTGGAGAGCTATATGGTAGAAATGTAATGAATTTAACATACACTAATAATACCATTCTTGTATACTTTCTAGAAAATATAAGTTGATAATGTAGGATATGTCTGTGACGTTTGTGTAGAATATAATGAAATTTTAAATAATCAAGGCCTGATTGGTTAAAGCTCCCATGATAAAGCCAATGGACTGTCCTATACAATAAAAGGCTAATATATATATAGACTGAATGGTGGAACGACCGGTCACTATGACATGCACTGACCACCAGGGGGCAGACACTCAATGCAGGAGCTGCCCCCTGGTGGCCAGTGCGC